GTACCTTCCAGCCCTCCAGTCCCTCTTTTCTCTCTCATCGTCAAGACCCCAAGATTCCTGGCTGCGACTGCCATCTTCATCTTCCTCCTCACCACGTTTGTGGAGCTTTTTCTTGTGGTGGTAGCGATGTGTGGGCTTCCATATGCGCTTGTATCTCTCATCCTCATCCTCATTCCCATGCCTTTTGTCTACATCCCAGTACTCTTGGCTACGTTCTTCCTCTGGCTCCTCCCTCTCTTCTCCTAAAGGTTCCTCATCTCGTTTGTGTTTTCTTTGGTGGTATCGTCCAGGCCTCCAGTTCCTCTTCTCTCTGTCTTCGCCTTCTTCGTCTTCTTCTGATCTCTTCTCCTCTACACCCCAACTCTCCTGACTGCGCTCGTTGTCTTCTTCTCCTCCTCGTTTGTGTTTCCGTTGGTGGTATCTTCCAGGCCTCCAGCTGCTCCTCTTCTCCCGCTCTTGTTCCTCCTCATTCTCGTGTCTCTTCTCCTTCTCGTCACCCAGACTCCAGGATTCTTGGCTGCGCTCGTCTTCTGGGATTTCTCTTTTTTCCTCCACGGATTTCAGGAGAGCCTCGATGTCTTTCACATCTGCTCCTTTTGCCTCAGGCACTTCAGGATGACCTTTGACCACCTCTCCATGAGTCGCTATCCCCTCTGCACTCTTCTTGTCCAGTGGGGCATGTTTAACCCCTATGACAGAACAAAGGAAAGATCAAAAGAGGTGTAAAGAATCAGTTTAATATCGCTCTCAGCGACAGGTTATGATGGATTTCTTAATGGACTTAAGCCATTAAAATCCCATTGTGTAGTTGATGACGGCCAACCGATTTGATATTTAGGTTTGATTAAAAGCTGCTGTACTGAACTGTACTGGAAGATAAAGATTAATATTTTTGGTTGCTTGTCTTGTCTGTGGAAAAGTGGCATGAAAACTCAACAATCTTAATAGCTGTATTTATGTCCCCAAGTTAGTTGCCAAGATAGTCTTAATCAAACCTGACCTGACAGTTCAAGAGTGCTGCATCAACAATGTCCTTAATGCTTTAAATATGCCTGCTTACTATCCCCATGCACACTGGAGAGTCTGCCTGTGGTACAAACCTGCTTGGAGGATATCTTTGCATTCCTGATCCAGCTGAGAGTCCGGTTTGGAGAGAGCTTTGGACAGGACTTCAACCAAGCATCGTGTAACCTGCAATAAACAAATAACATAAATACGTATCTCTTTGCTGCTTTTTTGGCTTCATTTTCTGACAGTTTTTTAAACTTAACAATCAAATTGCATTCGAAAAGCATACCACATCTTCTCTCTGTCCTTCTTTTCCAACTGGAAGCGCTAGATTTTCTGCATTAGAAGAAAAAGTATTATATTAAAATGATTGAAATGTGGCATTGCACGAGGAATCGCATGTATTAAAGTGAGAGTCGTCAGTGTCTCTGTCCATGGTCCTGAACTGCGCTCTCTAACTTAAAACACTCTGTAAGAAGAAAACCCAGCACTCTTCCACCTACCTGTCAACAAAGCCGCAACCGCAACAACAACAAAAATAAGCCTCATCTTGGCGAGGAGACGGTATATCCAAGAAAATGTGGGGGGGAAAGCATCAACTCCCGTCCTCTCCGTTATCGGCAGGAGAGAGCTGCGCTGACTGGGCGCCTGCTGCTCTGAAGAACGGAGCAGAGGAGCGCCTCAAATAAAGAGAGGAGTGGGCTGGAGGAGCGTGGGAGGAGGGCTTTAGGCTCTGTTAATGTCATGACTCATTAGACCTGCAATCAGGGTGATGTGAGTGAAATTTGATGCGTGCACAATGTCGACATTTGGTGGAAAGTGAATTAGCAATCTAGTTAGTGTCACAGGTCATTTGGGTGATCGCTTAAACAGATTTTAGAGTCCATTCATGGTTGCGTTTTAATGCCAGGAGATGCCTGAGGAGAAACAGGTAGGGGGGTGGACACAACATCACGAAGAGTCGTGCACTCTTATGCAATTTGATACTTATAGCCCTGCAACACTTTTTGTCAAGATTTATTTATTTTTCTCTCTTTTATGTCAGAGAGAAGTTGGTTCAGCTGTTTATGCTGCTGACTACCTGGAAGGCAGCCTTAGTTTGAATCATCCCTAACACGTGTTTATCCTACTATTTCATGTCAACAAGCTGCTGTGAAAAAGATCTATTATTTCTTATTATCTCAGAATTCTGAGATTACTTTTTCTTGTTTTTCTGAATTGACGAGGTACCTCCAGCAGGCTCTCGATGCCCTCTCTCAGCACCCCTGAGCCTAACCCAAATAAAACCAGTCTCCAGTATGTTTCAGAGTCCCCTGACCTTTAGCAAACTAGACAGAGGGAGAGAAGAAGGTTGGCGTGTTCTGTGCCCACAGCCAAGTGTCTGTTCTTGGTTTTGCTTTTGTGTCCACACACACACGCAGGAATGCTGGAAGTCACAGTTGGAGGTGTGCCTGGATGCTAAAGATGTGACCCACACCAGTTTATTATAGTTTATCTTTGAACATATTTATCTGTCACTGTTAACAGAAATTCCAGTCTACAGTCTACACTTTACTGATAAACCACAGAATATAAGAGTAACTTGAGCGCACATCCATGTGCCTGTTCTTTGCTGTCCTCCCGTGACACCCCAGCCATGGGCATGGACCACATCGACCTCCCTCTTTGGGATAAAGGCTAGGGGACACAGAGCCTGGGCCCGCTGGAGTTTGCTGAAGACTGTCTCAGTGCTGGAGAACCAGTATTAGGTGCTTTGGGTTAGGCTCAGGGGGGCTGAGAGCTACACCTGGGCATGGAGTGCATGCTCGAGGTTTCATGAAAACATACCTCACAATTATGAGATAATGAGTTTTTTTATTCAGAAAAACAGTAGAATTTTTTTTCAAGTGGACGCAAGACATTTCCTTACACACCCAGTTTCAAAATAAGATTTTTCTTTGTGTTTTAGAACACGCTTGCCAAAGGCTGTAGTTATGTAATACTTCCTTATTCTCAGCTGCAATGTTGCCCTACATTTTATGTTTGCTTAAATGATTTAATGCTAATGTAGCATATATTTTAAATAAAGTTGAAATAGACATGTACAGCATTGGAGTCTGACCAAACCTGAGTCAGAATTCAGCCCAACTGACTCCTCAATAATTCATTCAGCCTTCAGCACATTTACCATGGGAATGTGTGAGCTTTAGCACCAGTAAAGGAAAACCAGTTAATGGAGACCTGGATCAATAGTTGTTGTGGTTAACACTCAAGTAACATGGATGTACCTGTTTTCCAACATTATTCATTCTTCCAATTATGCTTGTTCCAGATATAAGTGTTTCTCTAATCAAGAGTTGTATGTGTCTGTCAATATGTTCAAAAGAACACAGCTGCAGAGTCATAAAAAGTCTACTTATTGTATTGACAAGTGCAAGGATTTATGATTGGACAGTATTCGGGTCTTGATTGCAAACTTCTTTTAATTCGCAGCTTTCCATGAAACTAGGCAGAGCATGAGCAGTATCTTAATATGTGACTGCTGCTGTCTTCACAAGAAACCCTGGATTGGGAAGAGCTGACATGTGCTGCGACAGAGCTCAAACCTAGTAGGCTCAGCTCAGCACGGCTCAGAACATTCAAACTGACAACTGTGGGCATCTTCTTTTTTGGCATTTTGCATTAATTTCTTCTTCTTGCTTCCTTGTACAACAATGTGTTCTTCCTCAGCGCATATATTCTTTCACTCAGACAAATGCAAGTCAACAAGTGACCTGTCTGAGACTATTGAACATAAATGTAAATTACTTGCATCTATATATATGGGCCTCTATAGATGCTTATGCGTGAATCTTTACATGGGATGTTTACACAACAAGCACTGACCTTTATGTATAGCAAAGTACATTCAAATGCAATCATGTCTTGGAAACCATAAGCCCTGAAAGTGTAACAGCTGCAAGCAAAATGAAAATATCTTGCACCATAAATCTGCTCTCTTGCCTGTGCTTCTCGTGCCTACATGACTGGTTACTGACGTCAATCATTGTTACTGCACACACGCTCTGTTGTGGTAACTGAAATAATTACTGGTCTGAGCATGAAACCATAAAGTCAGACAGTGTATCGCACACCCAAGCAATACGCACTGATCCAAAGAAGCCAGTGAACCTGGTCTTTTGTGCGAATGACAGATTTTCAATTTTCACATTTTTCACTTTGTGTACAGTGAGCAGCAGCAGCTCAACAGGGCTCTGCAGTTTCCTCTGCTGTCCCTGGGGAGGAAGTACTGTCTGTGACTGAGGCTCAGTACTCCACTGTGAGCCATCCAGCCACTAGATATCAAAAGCATTGAAGCACTAAATTATACAAGTCCCATGCTCTGAACAATGTGTGTGTCTGTGAATGCGTGTGCACTCACATGTGACACAGTGTGTATGTGTTTTTGTGGCCTTACTGCCATTGCTCCAGGTCTGATTAATATTTTAGTGAGGCATGAAGATATAGGAGCTTACGGGCAGTGGGGGGGTTAAGAGGGAAAGCTCGATGCGTTCAGACAGGCTCTGTGAGCACGGCTAGGATCGGCCCCCGTCTGCAGCAACACAACCCCTTTCATCTAACCCACTAACATGTATGAACAAAAGGCTAGTGGCTCATGAAGAGCACAATGCAATGCACCTCATGAAAGCCTCCACTGGGCTTTGATCTTTGGTGGGGACAAGCTTTATGTTTGGCTCAAAACTACTTTGGGGGACTTTGATGATATTCCAAGAACAATAGGGGAGTCTGTGTATGGTCGTCTGAGGTCAAATGCACTTACTTTTGCTGTGTAATGTATCATTATTGTCTGTCATATAGTTGGGAAAGAGGCTGTTTCATTTTCCTTTTAAGGAGTCACTTATTATTAGTCTTTTAACACAATCTGATGTAAGATCTAAAGCAAAGTTCTCACTAATCAAACATCCATCCCTAACTTGAAATATATTATCTTGATGATTGCCGAAATATATCTAACATAATAGCCTGACTGCACACTTATCAAAAAGTATTAACACAGACTCTTAATGGCTTCAAAAACTTTTTATATTTTTTTAAATAAAATATTTAAACCACATTATCACAACAAAGTAAAGAACTTGCATGCAGCTTCTTCTGTTGTGTCTTTTTCTCTCTGCTGACCAAACATGGCTTATTCCTCCAAGAAAGTGTGAATGATTCTGCTGTGCCCAGCAAAGTAGCATATTAGGATATTAGGGGCCCCTTGTGTTTGCTGTTCTTTCTGAATAATAACAGTAATAAAAACAGAAATAAATAGTAAAATTCATATTTTGTATTTTATTTTTATTATTTATTTTTTTCTATTGATCCCATCCCCATACCATCATTAACCTGCCAGTGAGCCCCACATCTGGAAACTAGATTCTTCTGGAAGGGATGGATGTCTGTCTGTCTGTCTGTCTACCAGAGTGAAATATGTCAACAACTATGCCATGGAACTTTTATACAGACATTTATGATCCCCAGATGATTAATTCTGTTGACTCTGGTGATCTCCTGACCTCCTCTAGCGCCACCATGAGGTTGTCATTTGTGGTCTTGAGTGACATGTGTCGACAACTGGATTGCCATGAAATTTGGTACATACATCCAATGTACTTTTGTTGGAAAATCCAATAATCACAGATGTGCCATTAATCTTGTGATAGCCTCCCAATTCAGGAAAAGAAGGCCACATTACTCGGCCATAGAGCTATGGTAATTCCCTGTTTTTTTAATCTAGTGCCATCATCCAGTCAAAATTTTAATTTGTCCAGCACTTTGGTTTATGACAAAATACCTGCAAACCTAACAGCATTTCCATCAGCCTTGGATGCACTTTATGCTAATTAACAAATGTGTTAACTAATAAACATGGTAAACATTACCTGCTAAACTTCTGCATCTCAGAATTGTCATTGTGAGCATGTTAGTATGCTGATGTTAGAATCTATCTCAAAAAACACTGCTGTACTTCACCACAGCCTCATAGACCTGCTTGCATGGCTGTAGACTTGTGGACACAGCGATGCTTTTTGTCACCAATAAGTTATAAAGCACTTGCTTTAAGTTTAGTGCAGCATATTTCCCCTGAAAAAAATCTCTCAGTAGAGTGCAGATCTCTGCCAGCTGTATCTGTGGGTGGGGGAACAGGGAGTGCAGGGCAGGCTGTGTGTCTTGCGTATATGCATGAGAGCAACAAGGGAGAGACAATATGTAGGTTACGTCAAGGTGTAACCAGAGTAGACAGGCATTTCCAAAACACAAGCGATGTAAAACGACAATTTCAAAGTGAAAAAGCCAACAAAAGAATCTGCTCACACAAGCATGACCTTAAAGTTGTCAATAGCAGAAACAAGATTTTAAAGGGAAGCAGCTCATCACTTGTGGCCCCTTACAGCCGGTTGAGAGTAGTGAGGAGTCAGCAGTCTGTGCCGGTATAAAACTGAGCAGTCAATAAAATAGGTTTTTCAAACATTGTGAATCATTGCTACCACAAGAAGTCCTTAAGCATCCAGTCCTATGCCAGGCTGGGATAATTAGCAAAAATAAGCCTGGAGCTTGTGAGCCCCTGGAGTTCTAAGGCCCTGTGGCAGTTGCCTCATTTTCCCAGTTAGTGAT